CCGGCTTGAGAGCAGGCACACCCTCTTAAACATTTTTTGTATCCCCAGTGTGTTTGCAGGAGCTCAATAAATGATAGACTAAATGAATGAATGAATGAATGGAGGAGGACGAGGCAGCGAGTCTGAGGAGGGTGTGGTAGCGGTGCAATCCCGGAGCCCAGCTCAGAGGTAGTAACCTTCAACTCTCGCCTAAAAAGTTCACGACGGGGGGTGGGGGGGGGTGGCCAGGACGAAGAACAGCACCGGTATTTGGCCCCGTCCAAAATCCTGCTCCGCTTGGGGGCGGGGCTAGGAGGAAGGCTTAATCCGCTTCTGCCCGTCAATTGACCAATCACCGCCTCTAGGGGGCGGGATTTCAATCTGTTCCCGCCCTTCCCCTTGGAGAGTAAATACGTTTGGGCGCTGTTCAAACGGACCAATGAGTGCTCGATGTTTCCTCGGGTTGCTTCTCAACGATTGGCAGGAGTTCCTTGTCCCGCCCTCCTTGTCACGCTTTTTGCCCCACCCCTTCGCACACAAGATGGCGGCGCCCAGCGGAGTAGAGGCCGCGTTTGGGGTTTGCTGAGGCTGACTCCCTTTCCCACTACCCCTTTGGACGCAAAGCGCCGCGAGTCCAGAGGACGGGGGCCGGGCGGGGACAGGGGTACCTGCGTAGCTGGACCGCGAGCCCGCGCCCAGCCTGCGCCGCCCCCCCCCGGCCCCAGCCCGAAACCATCCGTTCCCGGCCTCCTCTCGGTCCGACCCACTGCCCGGCCGTGGTTCGCCACCACCAGGCCTCCAAAGCTGAGCTCTCTCTTCCAGCCCGGGCTCACCTCCACTTTAGAGATGTTTGGCCTCTTCCCTCCCAGACAGCCCGCCTTCAAAACCGGGACTCCTGGACTGGCGCCTGGCCCCCTTTCCCTCCACTGAGACTCCACCTCGCTCTAACCCACTTCTTCCTCAGATTCTTGGTTCTCCCTGGCTTGGAGACTGCTCACTTCCCTTCCAAATTAATCCCTGACGTCCCCAAATATTATCAGCCTTGACACCCCCCTCAGCCTAGAGCCAGACTTCCTTTTGGATTAACCTCCACAGCCCTATCATGGAGGCTGTGTACATGGTAGTGAATGGGGTGGGCCTTGTGCTGGACCTGCTGACCTTGGTGTTGGACCTCAACTTCCTGCTGGTGTCCTCCCTCCTGGCTTCCCTGGCCTGGCTCCTGGCCTTCATCTACAACCTGCCACACACGGTACTGACTAGTCTTTTGCACTTGGGCCGCGGAGTCCTGCTTTCACTGCTGGCCTTGGTTGAAGCCTTGGTCCGGTTCACCTTTGGGGGCTTGCAGGCCTTGTGTACCTTGCTGTACAGCTGCTGCTCTGGCCTGGAGAGCTTAAAGCTCCTGGGGCACCTGGCCTCTCACGGGGCACTGAGGGGCCGGGAGATACTGCACCGGGGTGTCCTCAATGTGGTCTCCAGTGGCCATGCTTTGCTGCGCCAGGCCTGTGACATCTGTGCCATTGCCATGAGCCTGGTGGCCTACGTGATCAACAGCCTGGTCAACATCTGCCTCATCGGCACTCAGAACCTTTTCTCCCTGATGCTGGCCCTGTGGGACGCAGTGATGGGGCCACTGTGGAGGCTGACGGACGTTGTAGCTGCCTTCCTAGCCCACATTTCCAGCAGTGCCGTGGCCATGGCCATCCTCCTCTGGACCCCCTGCCAGCTAGCACTGGAGCTCCTAGCGTCAGCTGCCCGCCTCCTGGCCAGCTTCGTGCTTGTCAACATCACCGGCCTGGTGCTGCTGGTTTGCGTGCTGGCAGTGATGGTGACCGTCCTGCACCCGGACCTCACCCTGAGACTGGCCACCCGGGCGCTCAGTCAGCTCTGTGCCCGGCCGTCCTACCGCCGGCTCCGAGAGGATGTCGTGCGGCTGTCTCGCCTAGCCCTGGACTTGGAGGCCTGGCGCCAGGTCTGGAGCCGCAGCCTGCAGCTGGCCACCTGGCCGAACCGGGGAGGGGCTCCTGGGGCCCCTCAGGGCGGCCCTAGGAGGGTGCCTTCAGCCAGGACCTGGCGACAGGACACTCTCCCCGAAGCAGGGCCCAGATCGGAGGCCGAAGAGGAGGAAGAGGTCAGGACGGCCAGAGGAACACCTGCCCGCGGCCGGGAGAGGCTCAATGAGGAGGAGTCTGTAGCTGGGCAAGACCCCTGGAAGTTGCTCAAGGAGCAAGAGGAGCGGAAGAAGTGTGTCATCTGCCAGGACCAGAGCAAGACGGTGCTGCTTCTGCCCTGTCGGCACCTCTGTCTGTGCCAGGCTTGCACCGAAATCCTCATGCGCCACCCCGTCCACCACCGCAACTGCCCGCTCTGCCGCCGGGGCATTCTGCAGACCCTCAACGTCTACCTCTGAAGACTCCTTGCCCGCCTGCCCACCCTTCCGTGCTCCGTGAGGCCACCTGCGCTAGGACAGCTTTAACACCTGACCTCTCGGTTCCTGGCCTGAAGCCCCTCCCGCCCCCGTGGCCGTCACGCCGAGCCTCCCAGCCGTACGCCCGGGACGCTGAGACAGGATAACTCTGGAAGACTGTGAGCTGGGTGGGGCAGGGTAACAGCTCTTCCTTACCCAATGCGTCCCTGTGTGATGCCAGAGGTGGTGAGTGTGTCACTATGCAAGGCCCTGAGACTGCTGTGGACTCCCCTCCAGCTTGCCAGGGCCCATCCAGATGCCAGCCTCCGGGGCTCCCCCTCTCCTTCTGGTTTTTCTGTTGGGGACTTGCAGGTCCTCTCCCCGGCCCCTCCCCGTTTCCTCCCCAGCTTCTGCAGCCACCACACATCACTGTCGTTTGGATGTTTTGGTAACTCAAGGGCCTTGGAACGAACTTGAACCTTTGCTTTCAGCCAGAGCACCTGTGCGCTGGTAGGCCTTGGGGATAGTAGCTCTCAGGTGCCCTTCGAGTTACCACTTCTGCCTGTCTTGATCTTCTGAGGCTTCCTCCCAACCTGATCCAACAGCGAGGATCAAGAGTTTACCCCTTTGGGGGGTGGGTGTCTGCACCTGGCTTCGGGACCATATTACCCTCTGGCACCCCAGCTCCACTGGGAGCCTCAGGAGGGATAACCAGATTTCTACTCCTACCCCTTTCACTCCCCACATCACAGAGAACAGTGGCATTTCCCTTCTGTTTGTCTCTCCCTGGCATTGGGGAGGGCAGACTGTGCACATTTCACTAGGGTCCAAATACGGAAGGGGCCAGCCTAGGAGTATGCAGCTCCCTGATGGGTCTCTCTGGCCCAGATGGGTCTGCCGGCCCAGTTTCTGGTGAATAAATTTCTGTTGACAGCTCTGACAGCCTCGGTGTGCATCCTTACAGGGGTGAGCAGTTGGTCAGGGTAACTGATGCTGCAGCAGGGTCCTTCAGTCCTGCTGGACTTACTGTGGTCTGTGGGGGACCTGGTGGGGGAGGAGATAAGATAGGATGTGAGGACTGTGCCTTGGGGACAGCCCGTGCCAGGTGTGGCTGGATTAGCTTTCGCCCCATCCAATTTGTGCCCTCATACACCTGGCTTTTGGAAAGCCCTCCCTATCTTTCCTACTTTTGTCAGAATGAAGCCCTAGTAGAGAGGAGTGTGACCGTTCTCATCCCTTGAGTCAGCTTCCCAGCTTCTCAGTGCTGCCCTTCCCAAGAGGGAATTTGGGGTTCTTGCTGCCCGGAGTCCAATCTACCGTCTGCTCCCTGGAGGAGCCTGGTGCTTGTCTTTGTGTCGCTTGGGCTGGAGTGGGGCCGTGAGGCCTCCTGGCGGAGAGCTGGGAGCTGAAGCCCAAGACCCGATCCCAGTCCCCACCCTCATATCTGCCCTCATAGGCCCAGCAAGAGGGAGGGGGGACGTTCCCACATAATTGTATGTTAAATCTAGGAGCATAATGCCAGGGGCAGCCTTCTGGAAGCTGTGGGGCGGTTGGGGGTGGGGGGGAGGAAGGGTAGGTCGGACAGAAACTGAGAAGAGGCCCCTCACATTCTCTGGGGTTGAGAGGCTGAACTGATTGTGGGTCTGGCAAGCCCTGGTTTGTTAGTCATTGGGGTGGGGGTGGGGCTGGGGCTGGCTTCTGAAGGTCAGAGGAGGGGAACCTTGAAGGGGCTTTGTGGCTAGCCTCAGACTTAGTGGCGCGGCCCACCCAGGCTATGCCCAGCACGGTGGGGGGAGTTCACCACATCCATCTTGGAGTTGGGAGGCCTGGGGAGGGCTTTTCTCCCCTCCCCCCAACCCTAGAGAGGGAGCTGAGCAAGGGGAAGCTTGGCTCCTTCCAGTCTCTGTTTAATGTGAGGATAAACATTTTATGAGAGAGGATAAACTTCCTGAGCTGGGAGCAAAGGAACCCCTTTTCCTGCACCCCCATCTGGAATTACATTAGCCGACCTCAATACCCGTCCTCCCCCTAACTACCCTAACAGTCGCGAGCTCAAGCTCTCCAGGATCTTTGCTGCATTCTGGAGTTGGGACGCCCCCTTGTGGTCAGCTCAGAAACGACTTATCTCTAGCCACCCCGGAACACACCACTTCCCTGGCGTGGGGGACAGAGAAATAGCTTTCCAGTCACCTAGAGACTGGACAAGCAGCCAGAGCAGTCACAGATGCAAACCCGGGGACCCTTACTGTGGATCAGGGTAGGGGTGTGTGTGGTGAAGGTAGCCCCCGCCCAGTTCATATGACATCTTTGAGTCAGAAAAAGGTGGCCAGAGCCCCATGCCAGAAGGGCACCCTCCTCAGCCAAGCACTCCTGTCCACATCCAACACAACTCAGGGGACAGCTAGCTCTACGGAGCGGCTTCTCATTCCCCGGGGCCTGCTTCCTCCATCTCCTGCCCCAGGGCTCATCCAGCCCAAGAGCCCTTCCTTCTGCCTGAGCACCACCCTGCCCATCTTCCCCATCGTTCCCTCTCCCCTCCCCCATCCGCACCATCAGGGCATCCCCACCACTAAAGAAGAAAGGCTGAACTGAGCCAGTAGGAGTTTTTTTTTTTTTTTTTTAATTGAATAATCTCTGAGAAAAGGGCCCAGGAATAGGAGGGACAAGGGAGAACCCAGAGAAGCAGAACACCAGGAAGAGGGCACCCCACCTCTGGGATCCTGGGCCAGAGCAACCGGGGGACCCACACCTGCCAGCACAGAGAGCTCCTTTGGTTTTGGGCAGAAATCCAGCCACTGCCCCTCACTGCCAGCCCTGATCTCAGACAGCCTCCGTCCCCATTCTCTGCCAGCAGCAGGACTGGAGTCGTTCACAACATCCCAAAGGGGGGCCAGCCCTCCCGGGACGATGTGGCTGTGAGTGTCACACCGCTCACTTTCCAGTGGGCATCAAGCAAAGACAGGGGAGTTGTGCCAGTCAGAATACACCAGAAATCCCGAGAAGGTGCTGTCTGTCTTGATGCTGGCATAGATGCCAATGTAATCGCCCACGCCCACCTGCACCCACACCTGGTCCTCTGGCTCCAGCCTCACCATGGCGCCCCCGGAGAGCGAGGCTGGTTTGGGCCACCCCCCAAAAAACTGGAAGAAAGAGGCGATGGACTCGCCATTCTTGACCAGATCGAACTGCAGGCTAGCCCGGTAGACGGTGGCGTGGACCGCGAAGTAGTAGACCCCGGGCACCCGGCAGGTGAACTTGCCGGTGGTGGCGTCGTAATGTCCCTGCTCGTTGACCAGCACGCGGTCGAAGGGTAGGGGCGCGTCGGACGGCGGAGGCACTCGGCTCTCGGAGCGCTTGGCGCTGAAGGCGGAGCGCGGAGGCACCGAGCACTCGCCCGCAGGCCCGGTGGCTCCCACGGGTCCCGTCTCTCCTCGTGGCCCGGGCTCCCCCCGGGGCCCCGGCAGCCCTGCGGGGGTGCGGG